GTGAAGATACTGGAGTTGTTCATAGCAAAAATCAACAACAAATGAATTAGCAGTCAAAAAATACATTGCAGAATAGCACTAAGCAGAGTAGCAATTAAGATATTGGAAAGTATTTTCAGATACTGTGATTTATCTATAGTACCTGCAAAGGTCAGAATTATGCAGGCAATGATTTTCCTGGGATATTCCATGGAAGTGAACCTTGGTCACTGAGAAAGCAGGATGGAAAAAGTACCGTATATGCCGGTGTATAAGACGACCCGGCGTATAAGACGACCCCCCAACATTTCCACTCAAAATATAGTTTGTTATATACTCGCCCCCTCTTCCGCACGCCTTCCACTTTTGCACTTTTTTTTTTTTGAGGCACTTTTGTGCACCGTGGAAACGAATCCCGTGAAGCCGAAAGGAGCAGCCAGCCTTCTCCCAGCTCCCAAGGAAACGAGGCTCGCACCGCCCGGGCTCCGCTGAGGTATCCGGCTGGGGCTGTCAGGAGTTATTACCGCTGGCGCGGCTCCGCGCGGCTCCAGTCCCGCGTTGCCTCGGGAAGGGAAAGGCAAAAAGGAAGAGCCGCGGCGGCGCTTTGCAATGGCAGCAGCGGCTCCTGGTTTTGCCTTTCTCTTCCCGAGGCAACGCGGGACTGGAGCTGCGCGGAGCTGCGCCAGCGGTAACAACTCCTGACAGCCCCAGCCGGATACCTCAGCAGAGCTCGGGCGGTGCGAGCCTCGTTTCCTTGGGAGCTGGGAGAAGGCTGGCTGCTCCTTTCGGCTTCACGGGATTCGTTTCCACGGTGCGCAAAAGTGCCTCAGCCGCGGGCAGCCGCAGTGCTTCCCAATTACTATTTGCCGGCGTATAAGACGACCCGGCATATAAGACGACCCCCCCCAATTGGAGGCATGTTTTTCAGGGCAAAAAAGTTGTCTTATACGCCGGCAAATACGGTATTTAATTTTTGGAATGTTGGTGTTAGAAAAGACTTTTATGATTATAGCATGGATTGTCAAGAAATAAATTGAGCATAGAATTAATCAATTCAGAATTGTCATATGAGGCACAAAGGACCAGTTTAAAATTATATTTTGAATATATTATGTAAAGATCTTGAAAAATATGTAATGCTAGAAAAGATAGAAGGAAAGAAGAAGCATGATCAATAGCAAGACTGATGGACTGAGTTACAGCAATAAGTGCATCCATAGAGGACTTGAATGGCCAAGTTGTTTCTTTAGAAGTACTGGTTGCTAAAAACTGACACTGACTTAATGATACATCAATCACATCAGTGAGAAAAACCAGCAGGCGCTCGCTGTAGAGAAATCCTTGCTGTTAAAGCTAAACCAGGAGCGGCAAAACTAAAAGTAATCCACAATGGAGGTGAGAGTAAATAGGATTCTGCATTAATTATTGAAACATACCTACTATGGCATTCCAAAATTTCTTCCAAACTGGAAGAAAACAGTGGAAAAACACTTCTGTGTTTCTGTCAATAAAACTTTTTCAACATGGCTGGGTTGAGATGTCAGGTGATGAGACACAAAAGAACTCCTCTATTACTAGAAAACACTCTGAACTTCCAAAAAATATATCTAGAAATTATCACATACCCAACTATAAGAAAATCTGATCATTGATCATGCTAGTAATGAAAAGTTTCTCAATTTTACAAGAAAATTTAAAATCTAAGCAAGGAGAAGCATGAGCAAGAAAAAGTTATGTTATCAAATAAAGCAGGAATAGGTAAACATAATTTGCTACTCTAATGCACATAATTAAATGATTTAGTCATGAAACCATATGAAAGAACGAAGTAGTAACAATCAAACAAGATACTTTATCATAACTCAATGACTACCGTGAGTTATTTGTAAAAAAATAAAAGTGGGAAATGAATGAATGATCGATCAACCAACCAGCTAGCTACACCTGATAGAAGAAAACTTTGAGGACTTATTTGGCTAATTGCAAGAGTTCCTAGATGCACTATGAAGAAAAGGCACTGATATTTGATTTTAAGGGAAATGGGTGATGTGGGAGAACCTGAAATAACTGAAATAATTAGATCAAGTAAATCCAATAAAGTACAAATACAGTACATACTGTAAACAGAAGAAAATCCAATTGACAACACCTTCAAGAGTGTCAATAAACACTGGGTGTTAGTAAATATATACAATATCAGAATCAAGTAGATTATATAATAGAAAACAAAAAGGTAGACAAATGCACTCCAGTCATCCAGTATACTACCAAGGGCAGATTGTGGAATAGACTATATAGATTAAGTTTAGAAAGCTTAGAAAGCTAAAAGAGGAAGTATGCAAATAAAATGAGATCTAGACAATCAAAATATAAATACAGAGTACAGAGTAACAATAGTTGAAAGGGCCCTTGGATGTTTTCCATTCCAAACCCCTGCTCAAGCATGATACCGTATACCATTCATGGACAAATGGCTGTCCAATCCTTGCTTAAAAACCTCCAGGGAAGGACCACCCACTACTTTTGGAGGCAAGCCATTCCACTGGTTAATTGTTCTTGTTATCAGAAAATTTCTTCTTAGTTCTAGGTTGGATCTTTACTTGATAATTTTCTGTAATTCCAGTCCTGCCCTCAGGTACTTTGAAGAATAGGTTGGCCCCTTCTTCTGTGTGATCACCTGACATCTTCTGTGTGATCACCTGACATCTCAATCCAGCCTTATCCAGAAAGTGAATATTTAGCCCACTTCATTTATATGAAACTAAAGTTGAGGATATATGAGAAGAGAGAGACACCGAATAAAACTAGTGGAAAAAAGTGAAGCACAATAGTGGTCAGGTAGGAAAACATGATTTAATGTATACTTTAAAATGGTTTAAAGCTACTAAGATACTAAATTACTACTCTTTCAACACAGACATTATACAGCCTAGAGACAGAAAAAGATTAGAGTTTATATGTATGGCAGAGAATGTGCAAATTACTGAACTACTGATTTCTTATGCAAACAAGTATCTTAGAAAGAAGCCATATAGGGATAGAGAAATCCCAAATGAATAAGCAGATTTCAGAAAAAGCAGAGGGACCCCAAGAACAGGTAGCTAATATAAGATGGTCTCTTTTTGTGTATAAAGTAATATAAAAAAGATGAGTTATCTTTGCTTTAGTAACAACAGCAAAGCTTGTAGTTAATATCAGAATAAGCTAATGGATATCAGAATATATAATATTTTTTGGAAAGATCTTATAATGTATAAGAAAGTACTGTAGGAACAGAATTTGAGAGAGTTCAGAATTGCAAAACACACAAGAATCACTTCCAACAATTTTTTTACCAAGAGGCTGAAACATCAATTTAAACCGTGTTGATAACCCTACTTTGTTTGCCAAAAGAAGAGGTCATCTTAAAGAGTTCATTGTGAAAGCAAAAGTGGGGAAAGCAATACCTGATTTTGTGTTAAAATATTAGGAAGTACTAATGCTTTGTGGACCTACAGTGGATGACAGAAAATGAAGTTGCTGGATAATTTTATTTTCTTGGACTCGGAATAAGATAAAGATGGACAACCTTTATCCAGAGAAAGGATATTCTGGAAAGGATGTCAATGATAGATTTCAACAAGAACATGAGGGATATCCCCAAAGATTGAAGAAAAAAGCTAAAATAATTATTTTCTAGTGCTAATATACAACCATGAAAGCTGGGCATTAAGTAAAACTCATAGAAAGAAGTTAAATGACTTCTAGAGATGGTTCATATAAGAACAGACTACAAGAAGAACTACGTTGGGACAAATGAAGGCTGATTGTTCCTCTCAGGCAGTGACCAGTAGGCAGCAATTCAGACCATTTGGATATGAGATGCAAACAGATGATGAACATAAAATAAAACCATGCTTAGGAAAAGGGAAAGGGGACATCGGAGGATAGCAAATAAGGTGGATGTATGATGTAAAAACAGGACAGCATTTGGAGTAGTGCTTTGACCTGAAGATAGGACAAAGAGGTGAGCATTTGTCTGTATGCTCACCAAGAGGCAAACCCCAATTTGATGTGTCACCAAATACTCCAGCTTAATTAAACTGTGAATCACAGTAAAAGCATATAGGTATGATGGGCAAGTAAAAAATTTTGGTTTTAAAGAATTTTGGTTTTTTTGCAATATAGCATCTGTTTTAGCACACTGCAAAAATGATAATTATACCACATACGTACAGAGTAAATACATTGTTTACTCAGAAATGAATACCAGTTGTTGATTTCATAAACTTCCTATCTAAATTGCACAGGATGGTCTAAATCTTACTTGTCACGAAAGCTTTGTAATATCTTAGGCATTTCCTATTAATTTACTTCCCAGTAAATCAGGAATCTTATTCCTCTTTCGCAGAACGTGCCCTCTGGAACAGCATCTCCCACAAAGCACCTCTCCTGAGGGGATTTAAAGCATTTTTTTTCTCCAGGGCTTGAGCCAGAATGTGTAAAAAGCCTCCTGCAGTGTAAGACGTTGCATGTTTGCTTTTTTTCTTCTTCTAGACATGCATCGGTCCTCTCTGTTTATATTATCATTTGTTGTTTTTAATGCTACCTGTCACTCAGAGTTCTGATAGCGTTAGGGGCCCTTATAAATGTGGCAAATCAACTAGTAGATAAGTGCACAGAGAGGACCATAGTCTTGATGTACTATACTCAGTTCAATGGCTGTATACAACTTCCAAGAAATCCATTAGGTTTGGAAGTCTGAGTAAATAATACAGGTGGATTTTGCCTATTAGTCTTCTCACAATTGAAAACCTGACCATTTTCAAATGAACTTGAAGGTGGTTCGGATGAGACCGAAAGTGCCAGGCAAGAGGGGCTGTGCTGACAGGGGCGAAGAGCAGCCGGGGCATCTCGATCCCGCTCTGTCCCGAGAAAGGGGGTGGGGGACGGCGTCGATCCTCTGCGAAGCCAGCGGCGAGGCGGGTTGCTTCCCCAAACCCCCTCCCGGTTCCTCCTGTCGGAGCGAAGGTCCTTCTTACCTTAATGTTACAGAAGACCTTGCCCGGGCAGGTGTTCAACCTCGGAGGCTTATCCTGGGTTGCCGAGGCTTTGCTGTTTTCGGACTGAAGCCCCATTATCTGCTCAGACTGCCGAAGCGGCCGCCCCACTTCGCCCTGAGTCCGCGCTGCGTCTCCGCGGCCGGCCGAAGAAATCGCAGCAGCAATCGGATCCCGCGCTCGCTTTGATTCTCCCTTTCCATGAGCCCCTATGGAAAGAGCGGGAGCTGCAGTTCTTATAAGCCTGCCCTACGCTCCGATGTGCTGAGGAGACGTGGCTTTCCCCTCCCTCTTTCCTCGTCTACGTAAAAGCGGTCCGGTTCCCGGCGGCTATTGCGGAGATGCAGGTGCGGGTTTCAGTTTGGCTCTTTCTGGGAACTTTTCGTAGCCCCTCCCGACCTCCCGCTTTGTTTGGCTTTACTTGCAGAGCTTAGGAAGTTGGACGGACCCTATTGGGAACGTCAGCACAGTCTTCCCCTCCGAGTCCCGACTTCCAATCCGCCGCCGAAGGGAGACACTGCGGGGATCCCGTTGGGGAGAGGACGTCCCTTCCAGTCTCCGGGAAGCGCGCTCACTCCGCACGCACCTTTCCTACGGTTTCCGGCTTTTTCGCCAACATACGCATCTCGATATGCGCCTTGTTTAGTTCAGCGGGCTTTCCTTGCGAACAGTCACAGATAAGGCAGCGCGCGGCCTGCGTGTGGGGGGCGGGGGGGCGCTGAAAGCGCGCGTTAGGGTCCAAGTAGCCCGCGCACGTCCCGCGCTTCTTTCCCTCACTGCCTCGGTTAGGAAGATTTCAGCCTGCGACCTGTGACCCGCTGGGCTTGGTTTGCAAACGGCCCGGCGGGGACACTCTCGCTGCTTGGAGATTTACGCAGAAGTATTGATTGAAGCCGCTTTTACGCAAGGCCGGCAGCTCGGTCTTTCACCAAAACGCCTCCAACGGCAAGAGACACACAAAAAGAGAAGTGCCCAAATCACATGAGCCTCGTGGCTTTTCGAGGTTCCCGGTCCCTATCGAGGAAGGCGACCTGCGTATTCTTACAAATCGTAGAAAATGTCTTGCAATATTTCCCTTTGGCACAGATTTCATGGCTTTTGCAACAACAGAATGCTGTTTATTCTTTCATTTAGACTTAGAAAAAAATGTTTTTGAATTTTTATTTATTTATTTTAACAACAAAGACAACAAATAAAACCCTCTTTCAATTTTACAGTGTGTCGGTTGGGTACATATATCTTGTGCGCATAATATTGTTATACCTTATACATTTATAAACCATACTAATCAGCATTTTATATCATATTGTTCAAATATTATATTATCATTGATATAATTGTTATCTTTTAAAAACATCTCATTCTTACTAAGTTATATTCATTCTCTTACTCATTCAAAATTAATTATGCTACATTATAATTATTACCACATATTTCAATTTCTTATTTTTCTATCTAACCATTCATAAAATAAATCTCAAATCTTATAAATCTATCTTTTTCCTCCTGTTCTCTAATTGCCATTGTCAGTCTACTCATTTCCACACATTCCATTATTTTCTTAATTGTTTCCTCCTTTGTCAGAATTTTCTCATTTTTCCAATTTTGTGCAAATACAATTCTGGCTGCTGTTAATACATTAATAATTAAGTATGTTATCTCTCTATTATAACCTTCAGGCATAATTCCCAATAAAAATATCTCTGGTTTTAAATCTATGTGTTGTTTTATCATTTTTTCCAACCATGTGTGTATGCTAGTCCAGTATCTTTTAGCTTCAATGCATGTCCACCACATATGGTAAAATGATTCAGGTATCTGATGACATTTCCAACATTATGCCGATTTCTCTTTAAACATCTTCGCTATTCTTGCTGGGGGCAAGTGCCACCTGTAAAACATCTTTTACAAATTCTCTTTGTAAGCCACTGACATTGACTTAGAAATTTTTAAATGCTGTTTAATATTTAATGGGCCCATGATATGGATAGTCTAAAATGCTTTTTTTTCCATTGCTTTTTTAAAAAAATTATAATTGCATTTTCTTTTTTATGTGTCTTGTTTTTTATTTTGTGGGATTTTTTTGTAAAATTTGTACACGTTTTTAAAACTTAACAGTACAACAGCTAATAAAGACAGAAAGGGTTTTGTGCTTTACTAAAATATGAAACCCATTCTCTAAGATAAAGTAATTTGAATATAGTTTGCTGAATTTACAGGGCAGATTAACTTATCTGGCTCTGGACCAGTGTTTCTTATGCAGGAGGGGAAACTTTTGGAGTTGCGGTCCATTTAAAGTTGCAGAGGTTGACAAACACAGCAGCTGATAAGTACCTATATGAATGAAGCAGATCAATTAAATATTATCCACCCTCAGCATCTAGGCTTACACTGTAGACCCAGGCCTTATTTCAGCTGAATGAGATAATGGGAGGGACTGGTTTATTTCAAACGCAAAAGCTACAAATCTACAACCAAAAGCAGCTTATTTCTATACTATTTTAAACTTTTAAGAAGTTGAACTATATTTAAAACAAAAGTACTAAGATAAGCATACCCACATGTACTTCCTAGCATTCTACCATAATTTCCATTGTGCTGCTTGTTCACTGTAGTCACATCCACTTTCCATCATCTTAGTAAGCACATTCTGTTCTCCAGGTCATCCTTTACCAAGAAGAAGTCTACATGAGACACAGAATAGAAAAGAACAGACACATAAGGAATTTGTCTCCAGTGCATAAGCTCTCAGTGTATATACAAGTAACAAGTGATAAATCATCAAATATTTTACAACTGTTGGCAACCTTAAATGCTAATGTAAACAGGTTTACAGGCGATCAAATGTGCACTACCAAATTGGCTGGGCCAACTGAAGTCAAGCATGCTTTGTTGCTTGTTTGGTCTAAGGGGCTTTGTAGGGAATGTCAAGATGGGATTTGCAAATAAGCAAAAAAAAGGAATGGGGTTCAATCTTCATTTTTTTTCCTGGTATTCTAGGGATGTGCCTGTTTGATTCTAGCCTTTTAAGTTTTTAACTTCTATTACTTAAGAGAAAACAGCATCATCATCTTAAAAATTAAGTTTCACTGGTGAACATTTCTTAAATGTGCATTGCAGACACGATGTCCCTGTCTTATATTTTAGTGATTCTGTTGTAATTTCTTTAACTCAGTCACCAAGAATCAGTCAGTGTGCAAGTTTAATAAATAAGTAACAAAAGCACCTATTATTATTTCTTCCTTGAAATAGAGCACCACCCATGGAAATTCAGAGTAGGATCTAAAGTAATAAATTTTCCCTAATGAACCAAGGAACAAATTAATTCTAGCTCAGCAGAAGTTAATGAGAACTACTTTTAGATCATCCCATGATTGCTTCCCGCCCTCTAATCTCCACTCTTGGCTCTCCCACCCTGGTAATAAAATACAATTGAAACGGTCTCCCATTCAAATCCATTCCTTATCCTGGGCAGGATTGGGAAATAATTACAGTATGTCAGACACAGTGCTCTGTGTACTTTTTCGGGTTTTTTTTTTTAAAGTCCTTTCAATCTTTCAAAAGGCTGAAAAGTTATTCTTGAGGAAGATGATAAAATGATGCAAGTCACATTGTCTTCATCATGAAGATACAAGCAAGCAAGAATTTTCAGCAGTGACAAGGCCATCATGCTCAGGGTTTCAGTTAAACCTGCAGAACAGTCCTTGCTCATCCTCTTGTGCTGCTGTGGAACTGGAGGTTAAGAGTTCAGCTGTTGAACCTCAACATTATGGGAACACTAATGCTAAAAAGAGTTTCTACAGCAGGGGTGTCAAATTTGCATCTTCACTGTGGCATCATGTGACATGGGGATTTCCCCCCCTTCACTAAACCAGGCATGGGCATGGCCAGCATGTGACACATCCAGCCTGTGGGCTGGGAGTTTGACAGCCTTGTCCTACAGTGTTTTTAAGCTGGTTGAGACAGGGTAGTTGAATGAAAACACACACACACACAAACACCTACCTAAATGAAAAGAAGCACACAGATGCAATGCATTTGGCATTAACGTATATGATATGCTTCACTGTGGTTTATTAAATAATCTGTTCATATAACACCTTCAACCAATGTCCATGGTTTATTTATTTATTACTTTGCACAACCCCAGCAATTTTAGGTGGTTCACTTATAAAATCAGGGGAAATAACATGGATATAATAAAAACAAGCAATGTAACAAAAGATGGCACAAAGGGGACAACAACCAAAGCAACCCGCATTATCCAGGAAAGGGCTTTGATCACCCTCACCAAATTCTTGGGCTAAGAGCCACAATAGCTGAGCTCACATATTGTAAGACTGCAATGGCTTACTGTCCAATTGAACAAGTCATGGTCTTGCAAAATTGTCAGGGATAAAAAGCAAGTGCTGCTTGGATCTGATTATTTTCCTATACCCTTTTCCTCTGCTATCGGTATTTTAATTGGAAGCTACTCTTATAAACCATACCAAATATTTTTCATAAACCAGGTCTAGGTATGTTGACTGAAATAATTGGGATGATTATTGGTAATAATTTGTAATAATCTGGATGTGGTGGTCACCTAGAGAGGTATGGAAAGCTCTAATCTCCTGCTCCATACTAGAATACAAATTATGCTTTAAAAATAGATTTCAAAACTTGGATTTCAACTCAAGAGAAAAAAAATGACTTGTAAAGTCCTAAGCTCCAATGAACCGAGTTAACCTTGCAGTTTTTCAGGCCAGCGCATGCAAGGCAAGAATTCTGTTGGGAAGTCCCAGAGTGTCCCAAAGAAACATGAAGGTTTCGCATGCTTCATACTATCATTATATAATTTGTATCAGTTAAATGATGCAAATGGCATAACATTCATAATTTGTATCAGTTGTGCAACAGTAAAAGCACTTTTTCTCCTTTTTTCCTTGGGATGTTCCTGGATAAACCCAATAGATTCAGATTATGGCATTTCTCTGCCATAATTGGACTTATTTTCTGTGGAATTCAGGAAACACCTATCTTCTTTTTTAAAAAATAACTTTATTAGATTATTCAATTTTTAAAAATCCTAACAAAAA